GCTGAGGGGACAAAGTCAGAGTAACGGTTAACGGAAGACTGTGCATGGACCTGCGTGGTGGAGTGATGTGGAGTAGTGGAGGTCCGTGGTCCGAAGGAGCGATAGCAGCTGGGAAGACAATACACGGGGCACAAGGCAGGAACGGACCTGGGAAGAACAGCGTGAGATATATATATATGACAAATAATAGGTAGGCATAGAATAGGGCTAGAGTCTAGAAAGAACTGGCAGGGAAGTAGACAATGTGCACGTTATAAATAGGAAGAAACTAATCAGGTGCAGCTGGACGTGAAGCAGGTGTGTCAGAAATAGAAATCAGGGGTAAAGGAGCTAAAATAGAGGGAGAGAAGGGAGAGAGGCAGGTGCAGCCGGGCAAACCTGACAGGATACAATATTATTCCAAAATAAATAAACTTGAACTTAAAATCAGTAACCATATTTCTGCTAAGGCTTACATTTGCAAACACCTGCTTTTTGTCTGGACACAAGACGTCGCACACTTTCATCATGCAGCTCTTCAGAAACTCTCCCTCGGTAAATGGCCGGGCTGATTTGGCTATCTCCTGAAAGTCACTTTCGGCTTTTCCCGTTTAGGGGTCGCCACAGCGAATAGTCACACTGCCGACTCGCATGTTGACATTTGGCACGTGTTTCTACTTTCTGTAGCTTCTGCTCTGCATTCACGTTTTTCAGCTTGTCCTGATGTTTTTTTCTCATAGTGCCATCTTACGTTATATTCCTTAATTAAAGCCACATTAGCTCCACAAATAAGACACACAAGTTTACCGGGAATGTCAGTAAACATATACTCAGCCTCCCACCGGTTTTGAAAGGCTCTGTTTTCATAATCAGCTTTTCTCTTGGCCATTGTTAGGGGCTAGCTTTGACTTGAAATTAGGGTTGTATACATCAACAGACGCTTGATTGATCTGAAGTAATTGACACGGGAATGATCGCAGGTAGCCTATCGTTCGGTAAGGCAGCTGTTGTGCTGCATTATGGGATTTGTAGTTTGTGTGTTATCGGCGCTTTATATCGCCGGGCCATTAAAAAAAAAGATATATAAAATGATCTTGCGGGCTGGATGTAATTGTACGCCGGGCCGGATGTGGCCCGCGGGCCTTGAGTTTGACACATGTGCACTAAAACATCGATTCCACCACCCCCTTGTTGAGGTGTTATTCCACAAATGTTGTTGTGGTTGTTACCATTAGCTGACTTTTCCTTGTGTTTGTGTGTAGTCATCCTTCCAGGTCGTGTATGAAGGAAGTACTGGAACAGACTGACAGAGTCTGTTACTACAGCTTCCTAATGAGCCTCGCTAAACATGAGATCATCCACCAAACCGTTGGTAGGTTTAACATTACACTTTAACCTCGTCCTCTTCCTGCTGCTACGGCTAATATATACAAAATGTCAGTGTTATACCAAAGTATTTAACTCCATGTTTCCATCCATGTTCCCCTCACTTGAGTCTCCTCCTTGCGCCCCAGTCCCCCCACTAAAGACGCAAGGAAAGAGATGAGGGAAGGGGAAAAAATGTTTTTAGAGAAATGAGCCGTGCTTTCCTTTGAACTGTCACCTAAAGCAGCCTCCATTTCTGATGTGGCACAGCTGGCTCAGCTGTCTTCTGGCCTCAGCAGCTGTGTTGCAACTTGTAATGATTTGGAATTGCCCATATTACTGTATCTGTACACACAAAGACAACCTACCACCACCAGCTGCATGATTCCCCATAGAAAATAGAATGATTATTAAAAGCCTGCATTCTGTATGTCATTGGCTCAGTTGTGTAGCGCAAGTGTGCACCTGCCATCCCTGCTAACTGCACTGAAGTTAAAGAATAGTTTAACTTGGGCACAGCACTCTGTCAAGACACCATGATGCGTCCAATTGCAGACAACCTGACAGACCACAAAGAGAATGGAGGAGAAGCTGATTTTGGCAGACTCACGCCATCTTCTTCTTTGCTGCAACCTGTCTCCTCCTCATCATCAATACAACTAAAGCCAGAGCTTTTTGTTTAAATGTAGACAGATGCATCATGCATCCCAGTCCGCCACTGAAAAAATTATTTAATATGTGCTAACCACCTCCTGGAAAGCTTTTTGGTTGCTAGCAACTGGCGCCCAACATGCAGGATTTGTGCATCTGTGCCCTCCTCCCCTATGCTGCGCCCTCCTCCTGCAGCGAGCGCAATGTGTACCGCGTCCTATCTGCTTTATTCTCATGATATAGGAGATACCAAATTGATAAAACCCTACAGGTCCATTACAGGATTACAATTTTTTAACCCAGAATTAAAGGTATAGTTTGCGATTCTAGCAAAAGAATGTTTGCATTTTTGTCATCATGTACATAAAACCACAAGTTGTTTCAGTTAGATCTCCTAACCAAGTCACTCACAATTCATGAACGTGCATTAGCATGGCAACTATACTAATGACTGCGGAAAGAGCCGATTCCAAAGGGACATAGCAATACGCTGCTAGCAAGAGGGGCACAACATGTGGCTAACCAGCTACACACTCCACTGTTATTCTCTCACAAGCATCTCCAGCTGCTATAGCTGAAGTCAGAACAACTGCATAGATTTGCAGACTTGGGGGTATCACAACAAGCTGAAAACACACCATTCAACATCCTTGTTTATGCATCCAGCAGACACCTGCTGGAGTCATGTTTGTTTCCACTTGATGAATTTTAGTACCAGTGTCTTTTAGCTCTGTTTTGGTCTTTTGCTCTATAGTCATTAATACTTCTTTAAAAACTTGAATCATGTCTTTCGTCTTGTTTTTGCAGGAGCATTGCCCAGCAGGGCTGAGTTACTTATCGACCTAGAGATGGACCAGGAGCTGGACAAGCTGTGAGATAACAGGGACCTTCATGCATTTTCCCTCCTTGTCTTCTTTTCTTCCCTTTACATCTCTTTTCTTGTCTCTGCTCTGTAGAATCTCACAGATCTCAGTGAGCCCTGGCAGCAACAGCAGTGGCAGTGCAGTGGGGGGGCTGAAGGAGGTGCAGAGGAAGGCCTCCCCAAGGAGAAACATCCACCACAGGAGGAAGATGGAGGTGGAAAGTGATGGCTCCACGGAGGAGACAGACTCCTCTGAAAACTGACCTCTCACCTTTTATCTGTGACATTTCACCTTCCATCTTAAGTCCAAAACACATCAAAACTTAGTTGCCCATTATTTGCTGTGTAAACCCACACACTAGTAGCAGGTAAGTGCACATCAGTGTAATACAACACTCCAGATATGCAGAGAGAGCTGTAGTAAAATGACTCCCAGATTACCCCTGATTGCAAGGCAGCACTCTAGATTCACTCTATATTGACTGCGTTTACATGCACTTAAATAACCAGCTTACAGTTGACTTTTTTTGAGTAAGCTGATTTCTTAGCTGTCATGTAAATACCTGGTTTCTGTAATCACGGTAGGGGATTAAGGAATCCCCATTTTCCCAGGTAGATTTCTCTCAGAGAAAGCTGATTTCTCTGCCATGCATACACATAACCAGACTTCTGATCAGCTTTCTAGGGGAGCGCATGTGCAAAAGGCAAGCTCCAAGGTCGCTTGGGCGCATGTGACTGTAGAAACAGAGGAAGTTGTTACTGGCCTAAACAGACAATCATCAACATGGGGAGCAGTAGCACCAGCAGCAGCTTGTTGGATGAATGTGTTTTATCTTCTATTTGCCATTATTAATTTCATGACCAGTGGGCCAGCTGATGTCCTGATTTGCAGGTGCAACATCACTAAAGATCGGCTGGGTCCATCAGATTACTTAGGAGTTGTCTAATTTCTACCAAAACCTGGGTTTTGTCAGTAACCTTAAGTGCATGTGAACACACTTACTGTGTGGATGCTACACATTATTCTTTGTGTGGACCTGATTATGTGCAAGTCTCATGTCTGCACATGGTCACGTGACATGCCACTGCAGTCTGCTCTGAATTTTACTGTAATCCAAACAAAATATTTGTATTTCCCCAATACTGAGCCGTCAGTTTCATGAACAAAGTAGCAAACAAATGTGTATTACATGTATGGGGATCCTTACACTGAATAGTAAAGATGGAACTGATGCCCAATGTGGAAGATTTCTTTTGGTCACTGCAAACTCATATCTGACTATGTGATATTTTATTGGTGTTAAAGTTTGGTCTTCAAGTGACTTTGTATTTCACCTCTGTTGGGGAACATGCAAAACACAAGTTAAAAAAACAAACAAACAGAATTCCCACTTTGCACTGGGATGCCTCTACCAACCAATCAAATTGACAGGAATGAAACAGACATGAGGTCAGTGTGATCTTTGACCACCAAAATCTAATCACATCTGGAAAGAGAGAAATTGATGTACTTTTTTTAAGATTTTGTGATAAACCCCACGAGCTTTTGGTCACTCAGAGTGAGTTTCATGGTAACATCTGTGGCAACATACACACAGCATGAATTTCTGGAGAGTAGCTATCTCCTAAAACTGGTGCACTTTTATACACAAAAATAGGTTTATACAGTTATTGTGACTGTGTTTATAAATCTTGTAGAAGCTTGCAGTTGTATCCCTGCTAAAAGAGGCTTCTTAGCAGGTCAAGTCTACAATACATAATAATATATGGATGTATATTTGGGTATTACAGTTCAGAAGAGTGCAGTGCTAAGTACAGCTAAGATACTGCACACAGCCCTTAAACTCCCAGGTCTCTGGTAGAGGATCCAAGGTTGAGGAAGATGCACACTGCCCATAGGGGTGAGAAGGGAATTGTTTTTATGCATCTACAGTATGCTACTAGTTCTGTGTATGCCTCTGCGACATCACAAAGCACTGAACCAACACAGATGAGACATCAGATGCCTGTAGATAAGGTTTAAATGACAGAGTGCTGAGATAGAATGCCACACATTTTTAAAGTTCTGTGTGTCATGTACAACACACTTGAAAAAGTAGTACTTACCCTCAGATCCCATCATCCATAAATGGGCAAGAGGCCCATAGCAGTGTATGAGCTCAGGGTAATGTTCAATGTAGTGACGTTTAGGGCAGAGCACTAAATCAGGAAAGGCATCTTGCAGTATGTTTCTGCTCAACTTACGCTCCAATATCTAGACTTTTGTCTGGCATCAGTTTAATCACAGGCAGCAAAATCTCAGCAGGAGAACTGTCGTCTGTTTCAATCTGACTCTTACCCATCCCTAATTGTATCTCAATATAGCTTGAAGGAAGTTGAAGGGAATCACAGAAAGCCCAGAACAGGCAAATATCAAAACGAAAGTCATCCAACCATGTGGCAGGAGAAATGATGAGCTGTCTTCCCATGCCGGAAGACCAACCTTTTCTGCAGGCATTCTCTACAGTACAAACACAGAAACAACTATATGTGTATATATGGACAAATATATACAGATAAATATGAGAATTACATAACATGTATTATGACATGAATATAAAGATGCTATATGAATAAAATAAACATTGATGTTACAATTCTCCCATCTGGTCATAGTCTGTCCCCAACAAAGTATGTACAAAATTATTAAACCTCAGTGACTACACCCCTTCATGGTTTAAGTAAACACATCCTTAACTGACAACTTAAAAGTGTTATGCTGTTTTACCCTTTTATTGAATTTATAAATCAATCATGATCAATATAATTTGGCTTTTTGGATACAAAAAAATTACAAAAAATCTCTTTAATGTCAAAGTGAAAACAGGTTTCTACAAAGTAATATCAATTAAACAAAGATATGTAATGTGAAATAAGTGATTGCATAAATATTCATTCCTTTTAAAATGACTGACCTAATTCAACAGAGGTCCAGCCAATAGGTGTTAATAGTCTCACAATCTGTGAAATGTGTCTATAAAGACACCTGTGCCTGGAAGGTCCAGTTACTGGTTGATCAGTATTCCTGGTTACCATTACACCATGAAGACAAAAAGAACACTGAGCAACTCAGAGAAAAGGTTCTTGAATAGTATAAGTCAGGATGGATACAAAAACATTTCCAAGGCACTGAACATCCCCCAGAGTTCAGTTAAATTCATCATCAAGAAATGGAAGGAATCATGTCTAAATCGGCCTAGATCAGGTCGTGCTCACAAACTGAGTGACTGTGCAAGAAGGAGACTAGTGAGAGAGGTCACAAGACACCTATGACTACTCTGAAGGAGTTACATGCTTCAGCAGCTGAGATGAGAGAGAGACTCTGCATACAACAACTATTGCCCAGGTTCTTTACCAGCTTTATGGGAGAGCGGCAAAGAGAAAGCCACTGTTGAAGAAAACTCATTAAATCTTGAGCGGAGTTCACCAAAAGGCATGTGGGAGATTCCATGGTCAAGTAGAAGAAAGTTCTTTGGTCTAATGAGACCAAAATGGTGCTTATTGGCTGTCAGATATAAGCTATTGTAACTGTATAGCTT